ATGATGATGGCACACACGCGTCTACTCTACCACAAAGTTTAGCTAGGGTGATTGATGAATTCAGATTGGAGAACTCGCCCGCTAGACTCGCAATGGGAAAAGTCAACGATGGAAAGCGGGAGGGAGAATGGATGCATCACATGATCTCGTGTTTGTCACTCTGCTTCACCTAAAAATAACCTCCCAGCCCTTGTTGATTCCCCGCCGTCCGTCCCTGTTCGGAGTCCCCTAAGCACCCGCTATTCTCGGCAATCATGCACTAAACATGGTGCATGGCTCCATCAGCAGATTCTTGTGCTTGACAGTTGTGTCGACGGACGGGTCATGCCAATGGGGTCCTGAAGAGCTGTGAGCCATTCTGCTCATGTTATTTGCTGATATCCCTTTTCTTCTTTCTTCTTTCTTCTTTTTGTACTAAAAGACTCTTTTGTCAATCGTCTTCCACTGACTAAACCTCGTTCAGCACGTCATCCATAGGACTAACGTAAGCTGTCTAACTTGACGATGGCGTTTCAAATTAAAGCGCCCCGGTATTTTATTACCAGGCGTTTGCCAGTCTGTTTATTATTAACTCCCGATCAATGCAACGGCCCTCTCCCGTGTCACGTGGACCCATCTTCCACGACATCAAGACAGAGTGTTTGCGGGCGACGTTTGTCAAATACAACGGCTGACTGCAGACTCAAGTATCCATCTATCTGTCTGTTTGAGAACCGTTTGGTTACATAATACCCCGGGGCGGCTCCCTTGATACTTTCCTTCTGTTACCTCTTGTGTCATGAATTACTCGAAATGCCCCTCTTCAATGCAAGCCATATATGTACACTCGTTTTCTGGGTGACTCCAGGCCACATCGAGGAGTGCTGGTATTATCTCGTCACTCTTTCAATTCTGGTTCATCTTCCGTGCTGCAATGTTCTTACAGCTAGTAACTTATGTTTCTATGTATACTTAGGTACCCCTAAGGTCTTGACTTAAAAGTAATGGAGACCATAGGAGATACCTAGGTATTCAATCATATATGATGTTCATCAACCTGCAGGTGAATAGACGAATCAAAGCCCTCCAATATCGCCAATGTTTGCCTTTTTCAAGCCAGTGAACGGCCAGCGGGAGGCTCGCAGCCGCACGTGAATCAGACCCGTTGGTTCGCCCTGCCTTTGGGAGATCCAATCCAATGGTGACTGCCTGTCCAATCTTCCATGCTCGAGCTCGGCCTGAGGAGAAAGTGCCCTGATAGCTGGGAGCTCTTTCCAACAAACTCTTATATATTGCTTCACCAACCACTTTTGGGGTTTCTCCTCTTCATCCGTATCAGAATCAAGATCAGCTCTTGAGCCAGCGAATTATCAACATGAGCATGAACATGAGAATGAGCGTGAGCATGAACAAGACGCAGTAAGCAAGAATTATTATAATCCAATTGAGCCCCAAGCCACCACTTATACTCACCTATTCGCAGGAAACAAGATGTATGGCCCCCTTCTTGCTTATTGGAAAGTCTTTCCTTGGTACTCCGAAGAGAACTACCTTACCAAAAGAACGCATGGATTGCAAGTCGTGCAAACTCTTCAGCGGACTGACACTGGTCCCAGGGCCTTGAGATGCCAGTGAGCGACACCCAATGCGTGTACGTGCCTCAAGAGGAATACCAGAGCCTCCTTGCGATTGCCCACCAGTATGGTATGTAATTACAACACAGCCTACACTGGCAATCTCTGACACTTGCCTGTGATCAGTCTACCTACGTCAGAATCTCATCGCACAAGGGCTGAACGAAGCAACCGTGGATGTACGTTACCAGCTCACATCCGTCTACCAACCTCTAAACTTTCTGTAGTCTCTCTGCCTTCAGAAGCCAGCTGGAGATGAGCCTCCCTATGCCTCTGAACAGTTTGAACCATCGCCACCGGCACCACTCACTTACAAAGAACAAGCATCTACTTTCCCAGTTCAATCGAACAACGCTTCGGGCTGCCTTGCTGAAGACCAGGGGTTTCGTCTGAACAGGAATTGGCAGCCCAATGCGTCTTATCGACCCTCGATCTATCCAGGTGGATCGATAAACCAGAAACGGCCTGGGTATTTCCACGACAACAAAAGACCGGAGATCAAGGAGTGGTTCGAGCGCTCTGCGCAGAGGTCAGTCCTCCTCCTCAATGTACCTGATGGCATCACACATGGAGATGTTGCTGCGGTTATTCGAGGAGGTCCCGTTCTGGAGATCTTTCTTCGGAACAAAGACAACACTGCCACGGTATCCTTTTTGCACGAGGCTGATGCCTGTGCGTTTATTGAGAACTGTCGTGCAGCGGGTTTGTACATCAAAGACCGGAAGGTAAGTAGGTTTGCTAAAGGAGCCGGTGTTATTCTTATACGCTATCGCAGATACATACCAAATGGTCTGATTACCAGTTCACCCTGAGTGGCCAGGTTGCCCATCATATTCGCAAGGGTGGCTCTCGTAACTTCGTCATCCGCAAGCGGGACCCCAACCTCACCATTCAGGCTATCCGCGATGATCTGGAACACATTCACAATCTTCATGTGATCAGCATCGAGTTTGAGAAGGACAGCTGTTTCATCAGCACCAATGCGGTCCATGGCGCTATCTATGCTCGAACTTGTCTCCAGAGCCGAGTGTAAGTCAGGCTCTGTCTCATGTTGAAGACCAGTCAGCTGTCCAGACAGTGCTAATTGGCAACTTATCCAGAGAGTACAGGGCTTCTCGTATTGAATGGTATGCCGATGAATGTGCACAGCCGTTTCAGACAATATCATCTGAATTTCACGCTCCCGTCCCTGATGTAAAGCCGCAGAGAAGTGTCATTCCCGCCCATCCATCACGCAAGGAACTCATGGGAAACCGTTTCCAGCTGTTGGATCTTTCTGATAGTGAGGGAAGTAATGGGGATGATTCATCTGATAGCTCTTTCTGAGTTACCTGAGGGCACAGCTTCTTCGATTCTTCGATCTAGTATGATCAGGGCATCAATTTGCTGTGACGCTAATGATCTGTTTATTGGTGTGGGTTTTGCTTCAATCCTCTGTGTGAGAGAGGTCTAATCATATAGTTTGCAGTGGGGTTGGTCTGGCTGTGGATTTCAGATCCTCGGTTTCTTTATTGGCTCTGCGATTGTTTTTCGAAAGCAATGTCTTCAACGTCGACTCTAAGGCAGATTGGTGTCGAAAGTGTTAGACAGGGACGGGAAGACCATAATACCGGTATGGTTGTGAGAGGACATCAATCTAATACACGAAAGGATTGATATGACAGGTCGTTTTACAACGTTTAATAGTCTGACGATGAAATTAGCTCTTCGACTGTGCAGCAGCTCAAATAACAGAATGGACCCTTCCCTTTGTCCATATCACCATAACTGCGACCCATAGATGAATGATAAGCGTTCAGTATATACAATATAGAGAGAATTTGACGTCTCCAATATGGATCGAGGATGAGAGCCGATCTGATGGGCAAAGGCCTGTGGGGAACTGCCTTGGTTATCGAACACGGCCATGGCATACAACCCGCACTGCATGCGCTGGTTTCGAGTTCTCAGTTCATGTGTCTCTCAGGGCTCCTCGGACTCATATAAATATGCCAGCAGGTTCAATACTTTTGTTACCGAGTAGATCTCCAGGAGTTGTCCTCTTGGTGTTTGTTTTCATGTCTCCAGGTAGAAGATGGCCACATCGCAACATTATAGACGCAGAGTCGCATTATAAAATTCCAAAACGACGTAACAAGGATAGAAATAATCTATGTAAAAGATTACCAAAAAAAATGCGCGCGGATGACGTTCATCTTTGGTAGGTCGATCGAGCCTCAGTTCTGTCCGGACGATCAGGTTCTTGTCGCTCATGCCACTAAGCACTGCTTTAACCACTTGACCAGTCCATCGAATTCCGTCGTTGTTGAAATCAGGACGAGAGTTTATGATACATAAAGGCCCACGGGTTTATTGGGACCTCATTGGTTGTTCCATGGCGTACGAGTGATGATAGGTACCTTTAGTTGTTGGCAGCTGGCTCGCACTGCCAGGCAAGTGGCAGAGATAACAGACAGCAATAAGGGGCAGATTCTATGGTCGAGAGTGGTGAGGGCGCCTGCTAAAAGGCAAGGAAAGATACACCTGATGATCGTTGAATCTATTGCTTTTGTTTTGTTTTGTTTTCTTTTCTTTTCTTTTGTTAACACAGACCTGCAACTGTCTTGGATTCTATTTACCCCTGAAATCAGGCATCTTCTCTATCAAAACTAGGACTTCTACTGGCCCATTTTGATCATCATAACGGGCCGGCCTAATAAACAGACAGTAGATCAATTTTGGGAACAAGCGATTCGCTGCGGTTAGTGAGCCCTTGAGCCGTCAAACAGAACTACTTGAGTATCTAACTACCTGGCAGTGGTATGCCGGCTTTGCATTTGTGACTTTCGAATCCATGCTGGAGTTCTCTAAAGCCAAGACTAAAACGAGAGAAAAGCGACCTGAGATGACACACGCCTTGGCAAATGTCCCAAGTACCTACGGGGCTCAAGAGGAGGAAGCCTCACCAAGTTCCCAACGGACTGGTTGGAGGCCTGATTCTACCTCATTCAACGCGACGCAGCGGCAGTATGGTCAACTAAAGCATCCACCATGGCTGCTTCTGGTATTCAATACTACTCGTACATACGCACATACGGACCAGGGTCATAAGAGGATATCAAGGAGCACATCAAGATCCATCGGTCAAATCAGCAAAGTCTCATCATGAGTCTTCAAAGGATGCGAAAGAGCAGCCGCCCGCACGGCATGAATCATCACCATAAACATCTCAAGTCGGATAACAGTTCAGGCCGAACAAAGTGACGATAACGATCGCTTGGCAATTGGATACAACGCTAGCTCATAGTTTACCAAACCTATAGATCCCACACAAGGCTCCATTGCGATGCTCCCCCGTTCTTATAATTAACAAGTAGTACACATAAAAATCACTTCTCCCCAGGTTCCTCAATGGTTAGCATTCTTGGTAACAGACTGTAAGTAGTCCAGCAAAAACGTGCGTTCGGCTGGCGAGATAGGCGTCTGACTACCGCGACGAGAGGGCGGGCCGGCAGGGTCGTCCGCTCCAGAGGCTAGGGAAGCAAGACGAGACCTAGGCGTTCCAGCAATGACCTCTTTGCCCTTAGCTGCCTCCAAACTAGCAGGGGATGGCTGCTTGCCAAAGAGTGACAGCAGTTCTCTCTTCTGAGCGGGACCAGACTCGCGACGACGATTCATAGCAGGGAATGCTTGTGCAATGCTGGGGCTAATACCAGCACCTGCAGGCTGCAGGTGGCTAGACATTCCACTTGGCGAGGCAAGTGAAGTCTGAGGAGATGCGGATGCTCCATTGATGCCAAATAATTGTTCGCCCTGGCCTCGCTGAAGAATACGGATGGGCTGAGTAGGTTGCGAGGCAGCCGGTGCATGTGCTTGGATACCATATTGTTGCGAATAATCCGCTCTCCCTTGAGATCCAGGTGTACCGTTTTGAGTAGGTCGTTGCTGTAGGGATAGGCCATCCATGGACGGGAGCGGGTTGGGATCTACTGGGGCTTGTTGGGGAATGTTCGCCCTGAAATTGTCCCCGCCAACTGAACGCAGAAGTTCACTCATCATACCGCCAGGAGCAGGCTGCCCAGCGGGCTGAGGTCCTTGCGCAGGAGGCTGATTCTGGTCGTCCTTGCGAAACATGCCTAACAGAGCAGAGCGGTGGTTGTCGGGAGGAGGCCCAACCTTTGAGCCTGGCAGCTCCTTAGGACTTGGTCCTGAGCGGTCTTGACCTCCCACAGGGCCGGCCGCATGAGGGACTTGCTGAGGAATTCGTTGCGCTTGTGCTCCACCTAGGTTACTATACACAGATCCCTGGCTCTGTGCAGGGAAGCCAGGAGGGAACGGGACTTGTTGAGGCTTCTGCTGTACCTGTGGCGCGGTATTACCGCCCTTGAAAGCATTCAGGAGGGCCATGGACTGGCCGTTCATAGGTTGTGGTCTCGGCTGCCCAGGTCCATTGAGAGATTGCTGAGGCATCTGGCCGTGGTAGCCATATTGCGCTTGCTGCTGAGTAAGGAACTGGCCGGGCACAGGGTTGTGGGTGGGTTGGTTAACGTCCTGGAATACACTCCTGTTGAAAACAGCTCTTTCTACCTGGGGGGGCAATGGTTGAGGATGCACCAGAGGAGCCTGGTTGCTCTTATACTGACCCTCCTGGATGGAGTATTGCTGATTATATAGCTGGGGATTGCCAGCCTGCTGTCCAAGTCCCATACCCCAGTGAGCGCCTTGATTAGGCGCGTACGGGAATGGGGGCGGTGGCTGCTGAGTATTTGTGGATGGCATCTGGTGAATATTATGATGGTGCGGCGTATGAGGTTCGGGAGCATTGGTAACTGTGTGATCAAGAGGAGTCTGAGGATAGTGAGCACCAGCTGGCGGCGGCATGGCGCTGGTAGGACCGCCTTTGGCTTGGAGGATAGAAAGCAATGCACTTCCTTTATCCTGTGGAGCCGGAGCCGGAGCAGAAACACCTTGTAGTCCTTGAGTGGGAGGTTGCACCTTCAATAATCGCTGTAACTCCTGTGTCGCACCTGCGAGCGTCTCTATCGCGGGGCCTTGATCCGTAGTTTCGGCGCCAGTATCGTTCCATGCTTCGTCCTCGTATTGGGCTTCGCTGATAGGTCCATAACCCTGCGAGCTGTTTGCCGCTCTCCTTGCTTCAATCTTCTTCTGCGCCATAACCCATTTCTTCAGCGGCACTAAGAACGGTGCCACCATATAAAACTTGTTGGCATTAGGTGCAGTGTTGGCATCGTTCGCTTGGCCATTCTTGCGGCGGAAGGCTGGTAGCTCCGATAGCTTGTACCACTGGATTTTACTGATTTCTTTCCTTGTCTTGGGTTCAAATACGGTGTCCATTGGAACATCTCGAAAGACGTAAAGCCTCATGTGCTGTTCGCGCATCGAGATTTCAATGTACTTTGGCTTATGTTCGGTGGGTACCAGGCCAGCAGCTCGGAGGTCCAAGCCGGTCTCTTCATATACCTCACGAACGGCACAATCCAGGTCATCTTCGTCCTTGTTGATCTTTCCTCGTGGGAAACTCCAGTTGGCTCCCTTCTTCCATCCCTTGACCAGGACTGTCGAATCCATGGCCTCGTTCAGCATGATAGCACCTCGTACAGGAACACGAGTCTTGTATTCCAAAAACTCCTCAAAAGCTTTGGTATGATTCTCGACAGAAAAGTTGGCCAATAAGGGGCAATGCTGGAAGATTCGTAGACAAAAAGTTCGCAGGGTCATGGACGGCAGGGTCGGGTCAAGTGGACGGATGAAATCCTCGTAGAACCACTGAGCTTCTTCGACCTGGAAGCATATTCGAGCGACGGAGGAGAGATCCTCCTGGGGGAGGTTGATGATGAAGCGGACGCAGAGGTCGTCCAGCCCTAGGTTGGTTGCGTTAGTCCTTGCTCGCAACCGCGCAGCACCCACCAACACATACAATCCTCTAACTGCATTTGTGATCCAGACATGGTGGCGATGTTGGAACCACACGGCTCATGCTATGGTAGAATGTATTAATATTCGGTTGTTGTTTTTCTCTTATGATTGTTGACGCCTTTTCAAGACTTTGCGAGACGATAATGCGATCGTAGCTGCGAAGGCAAGCTGACCATGATTGAAGTGCGACAGCCAAGATAATGCAGATGAACGACTGCGACAAGCGAAAAGACGCGAGCGGTGGTCGAAGAGGGAGAGGAAAGCTAGATCACACGAGAAGGTATTGATAGTGGAGAACGCTGTACGAAGTGAATGTGAACGAGTCTCAGTAGAATGCAACGTCTCTTTGACACGCGGGGTCGAGGCGGCAGTGCAAAGGCCGAGATGGTGGAATCCGGATATGATTTGTTGTTGGTGTTGTTGTCAGGTTTGGACTGATAGCATTGGATCGCAATGAGACCAGCGAGGTCAAAGACCCAATTCTCATTCGCGCCTTAAGTACCTTGCCTTTGGCTGGGCTGCCCGCTTTTAGGTAGGTCCAGTGCTTCGTGAGATGGAGCCCGGGCGGGCAGGGCAGTCTCCAATTCAGAAGCAGCTAGCTAGGTAGTTACCTTACCTACCTTAGCTGCTGAGCCACAATTGCTGTTACGCGCCACAGGTTAGTCCAATCGACGTGGCGGTGCAATACCGCTCATGATCGTCCAACTCAATTTCTCCAACAGGTTCCCTCCCTTGTAGAGTTGCATGGACGTTTCAGAGGTACATAGGTACATATGTATGTAATGCTCAATCGCCACTGGAAAATATGCCAGCGCATGTGCATGATCGGCAATACAGCAGTGGTTTAACCGGTTTTGTTCAGCTAAAGTCTACGCATCAATGCTTCTAGACTGCAGGGGCTGGCTTGCTGCAGTTCTGTAGGTTCCAGAAGTTCGGGTGGCCGCCAATATTACATCATCGGTCACAGCACCGACTGGGCTCCCTCACCATGGACAGACATCATAAATACTCGAAAACAGGTTAATTGACTGACCAGCCGCACAGTAAAGTCATTACAACCGCAAAGAGTGGCCATTCTATCGGGACCTTGTCTTCCCCTTATTTAATAAGAGAAGCACCCTCTTATTGTCTTGGCTCGCTCAATCTTCGTCTCGGAATTTCAAGCAGTGACATACATGTCGGTGGAGTGGTCTTGTCTTTGATCATACTCCCGCCTCAGCCAAGCTCATCGCTTCAGCAATACTAAGAAGACCAACGCCCTCGTCCCCGGCCCCGCAACGACTTCTTTAAGCGAAGTGCTGCTCTTGCTATAAAGCATGGCATCACTTGTCGCAAAGCTCGTCACCAAGAAGATCTTGGGAGAGACTGTCCAGAACAAATTTGGAACTGAGGTACGAACATCAACTAAACCTGTAGTTCGTTTAGACCCCATCAAACTAACACATCATTCACAGGATCCCTACTTTGAGCATGTCCCAGCTACTCGCCTAGATGGAACGCCTACTGGCAAAGTTAAAAAGCGAAAGAAGGCTCTTCCTCCTGGCATTTCCGAAAACGATGGCAAAGTCCTGACCAAGGTCAAGCGCCGAGCTTACCGTCTCGATCTGGCTCTGTTCAGCTGCTGCGGCATCCGATTTGGCTGGGGCAGCGTTTTGGGGTTAATCCCTGCGTAAGTTTGATCCCTAAACCCAACACGGACGGGTTTCCATCGAAGCAAGCTAACATGGACTTAATAGAATTGGAGACGTTTTGGATACGTTGCTTGCCCTTATGGTTATGAGGAGCTGCATGAAGATCGATGGTGGGCTGCCAACCTCTGTCAAGTCCAGGATGATATTCAATATCATCATCGACTTTGTGATTGGAATTGTGCCCTTTGCTGGAGACATAGCCGACGCGGCCTTCAAAGCCAATACTCGCAATGCTGCACTTCTTGAGCAACACTTGCGTGAGGAAGGACGCAAGAACCTCAAGAAGAGCGGATTGCCAGTGCCAGCCATTGACCCCAGCGATCCTGCACAATTCGATCGACTTCAAGCCCAGGATCCACCAGAGTATGTGTCAAATCCACCATCGCGAAATCCCTCCATGTCGGAGGGTCGTCGACACAGCCGCAGCCGCAGCCGCAGCCGTGATGATCGTCCCATCGAGCCAGCACCGGCACGAGTCCGCGAGAGCCGCGGATTCTTTAGTCGTAGTCGAGCTCAACCACATGATATTGAAACAGGTGAAGCTGAGCGTGGGTCCCGAAGCCAAAGACCACAGCGACGAGATAGAGACCGACGCTAAAATCGGCAATTCGGATTTACGTGGACGGCGAGGGAAATGGACAGACCACGCTGACGGGAGGGCGGGCCCTTATAGGGTGATGATATTTGGTAATGCTTGTATGATCGGAAGATGGAGACGTGTTTCGTTGTTATGTTGTCTAGGTATGAAATAATGTTCAGTATGGATACTTTACCTGTTGCTTGCCTTGCCTTACGAATTTACAATGCGCCATGACACTCACTGATTGATAAAGTGGGTGCAGTCGCGCGTGGGTCGTAATCCTCGAATTAAATTAGAGAATATGATCTGATAACTTCACTTGGCATTTTCATCGACCAAGCAACTAACTGTCTCAAGTGGAACCGTGACATGGAGAGATGAACACTTAGGTAGGTTATATCGAAGCCTCCGATCTAGGACTCTACATAATACGTAAAGGGGTTTCAGTTTGAATGCTGTCCCACCTTGGCCTGGCCCAAAGCTGATCTGAATTTAGTTGCAACTTTAGAGACCTCGTAGGAGGCGTTCCATCCCCGGGCCCATCACGTCAGCTTCAGGGCCCAGGACGGAACGCGGTGTAACCCCAGGAACGCGGTTCTCACCCTGGGAGTGAAGTTGGTTTACAGGGAAAGTTCGTACATAGCAGTTCAATGGCGCTTGTTGCTGTCGCAGAAAAGATTCAATGGCCATCATTTTGCATAAATCTGATCTCAGTGCACGGTAGGACCTCATCATGACTTCTCCCACCAGGCATACCGACCTTGTAGATCTTGGGTACGGATAGTTTCATCTCATGACTTCTGTTCCGCCTCCACCACTATCATGCCGTGGCCACAGCCCATTTCGCATACATTGGCCCAACGACGAGAACAAGGGAGGCCACCTCATCAATGGATCTTCACGCCAAAGTGTGCTGATTGATAAAAGATACCCATGACGTTAATCCTGACAAAGTCTGAATCATCACTCCCTGCGACAAAGCAGGTACCGTGCAGGGACAGTGGAGCAATTGAGAGAAACACGAAGCATAGCACTCGAACCATACCAAACAAGAACGTGAATCTGCCTAAAACGCGAATCTACGCGTCTCACTTGCTTGATTCATCCTGGTGGCTGGATATTCTCATAGTACCAGCTCCAGCACTAGCGCCTTGGATGCTGCCAGTAGCAGTCCGAATGGCGCCGAAAAGGCCCTGGTTCACCCAGTGACGCGCAGCGGCCCCCCTGCCCTGATGCTGTAAAAGTATGTAAGGTACTTTAAGAATGGCCCGCTATTTGTATTGCCCAGCGCGACCTGACGCGCTTTAGCTCCACGTGACAGCGCATCAAGACTTATACAAAAGCCCGTCGCCTTCGTCCCGTTCTTTACTTTGGACCAGACCATCACCACCGCAACCCACAATACCTCATCCTCAAGAGACTCACACACATACAAAGCCTTTGTCTTGATTCTGTATTGCTCTGATCAACCTAATTGTACTCTTTTCCCCCAGAAACTCACTCTCACAATACAATGGCTGCGCAAATCACGCCTTCGAAGCAGGTATGTGACTGACCTCCCAAAGCGCACGCAGCTGCACATACCTACCAAAGCCAATCCGTTGCTAATACGCTCATAGGCTGCTTCCGCTATTGAGAACTTCAACATGGAGTCTCCCGTCAAGAAGCTCGACTTCGGCGCCGCCAACAAGGAGAACGAGCCTTTGACCAAGTCCCTCGATACAACCGACCTCAACACAAAGATTGTCGAAGAGCCCAAGAAGGAGGAGAACAAGGCTGCTGTTGCCCTTGGCATCAAGCCTGAGGAGGTCGATGAGCCTCTGCTTCAGGAGAACCCCCAACGTTTCGTTCTCTTTCCCATTAAGTACCATGAGGTATGTGACGCGTTTTGACGCGTAAAGTGGCCACCCCACACACGACCCATGCTAACAGCCCATCATAGATTTGGCAAATGTACAAGAAGGCTGAGGCTTCCTTCTGGACTGCCGAGGAGATTGATCTCTCCAAGGATCTCCACGACTGGAACAACCGCCTAACTGCTGATGAGCAGTTCTTTGTCTCTCACATCCTTGCTTTCTTCGCTGCCTCTGATGGTATCGTCAACGAGAACCTCGTCGAGCGATTCAGTGGCGAGGTCCAGATCCCTGAGGCTCGTTGCTTCTACGGCTTCCAGATCATGATGGAGAACATTCATTCCGAGACCTACTCCCTCCTCATTGACACATACATCAAGGAGCCCGCCCAGCGAACCTATCTCTTCAACGCCATTGAGACCATTCCCTGCATCCGAAAGAAGGCTGACTGGGCCATCCGATGGATCCAGGATAAGGACTCCTCCTTTGCCCAGCGTCTCGTTGCCTTTGCTGCTGTTGAGGGTATCTTCTTCAGTGGTGCCTTCGCCTCTATCTTCTGGCTCAAGAAGCGTGGTCTCATGCCTGGTCTGACTTTCTCCAACGAGCTCATCTCTCGTGACGAAGGTCTTCACACTGACTTTGCCTGCCTCCTCCACTCTCACCTCAAGGGTCGTGCCAGTAAGCAGATGATCCAGGATATCATCACTGATGCCGTCATCATTGAGCAGGAGTTCCTCACCGAAGCTCTTCCCTGTGCCCTCCTCGGCATGAACTCTGACCTCATGAAGCAGTACATTGAGTTCGTCGCTGATCGTCTCCTTGTCGCTCTTGGCAACGAGAAGGTCTACAAGGCCACCAACCCCTTCGACTTCATGGAGAACATCTCCCTTGGTGGCAAGACCAACTTCTTCGAGAAGCGTGTTGCCGACTACCAGAAGGCTGGTGTCCTCCACAGTGCCACTAAGAAGACTGAGGAGGACGAGTCCCCCAAGGGTGAGAACGGCGGTGACTTCACTTTTGACGAGGATTTCTGAGCGTCTCGCCTTGTTGTTTCTCTCTTTGGCCTGGGCACTTGCTTGTTGGCACGCGCACATGTGAACATATACCCTATTTTACTTCTTGTTTGTACATCTGAATGGGGCCTCGGGGCGGCGATGCTTGGTTAATACTACGGTTGGCGAGGTCGCAATCTTAATTTGGATCCGGAAGCTGACTTTGCACGGATCGACACGGCGTTTGGGGATCTGGACTCAGGGTGGATGAAAATAGCATTGATGGCTTGATCGTATTTATGGATGACGATATTACTTTACCACTCTCGTAGATAGAGATGAATTGATTAGATTAGTATACTCCTTCATCGTTGCCTGTGATGTGTATACTTCTCTCTTTGTCTGCCCTTAATCCTCTACCCGTGGTTGAAGCTTATGGCAATGGTCATGATAGACTCGGCTGCGTATTGGTGTCGTGTAGCGAAGACAGATTTGAGAACGTAAGAAGTCCACAAAGTAGCATCTCTCGAATAAAGGCTCCATTTAAGAATGCTGCTCTTTTCAAATGTCATCTGCTATAAGCTTCATTCCGTGATCATCAACCCTCACATCCACAAATATACATCGAGTCTATCAGAAGCGATTAAAACAACTCGTCGAGCTCCGATACCTTATTTCTTGCCCTTCTTCTTCTTCTTTCCACCTCCACCCCCTTGCGCCGCCTGCGGTGTCGGCGTAGCAGCTTGTGACTCCTCCATAGGGGTTGTACCATCGCCATCTGCCATTGTCACCTCGGGTACGTCGGCCACCGCAGCCATACTTCTTCCTAGCCGGCCCAGAGAAGCATGTATCAAACGAGTGACCTCTTGCGCCTTGGTGGTGCGGTACTTGATGGTCGCGCCGCTGATGGGATCATAGGCCTTGAGAACGAGAGCGCCGCGTGGGGGCTTGGTGACGGGTGTGTCGCCATCTGCATCGGGTCGCGTAGGGCCAGGCTTGAGCTTGTATGTTGTGGTGATGAGAGTCTACAGTTTTATAATTAGTTTGAGGTTGAGCGGTCGGCGCATGGACGTACAGTGGCAGGACGGGCCTCTAGGAGAGCCACAGACTGGTCAAGCCATTCCTGACTTGTCTTCAAATACACCATGTCGTCAAGAGTTGTATTATGTCGTCGGTCGCGATGTCGAAGGTGATGTCGTGTGCTGACCCGTTTTGGCTTAAGAATGATCGTAGGCAAAGCTATGCTTCTGCCTCCGCCTACAAATAAAGGTACCCTGAGAATCCTGCTCGCTTATTTGATTGTCAATGGCAAAAAGGGTCCCAACAGGACGCTCGTAGATGCAATGTCGTTCGCGGTCTTAAAGTTGAAAGTTGAATGAGGTTGGATTTAGAAGGTGGATATTCTTATGGTGGGGCTCAATGAGGGGCCGGAGCGGCTGAGCGCCACAACACCACGGCATAACTGCCCAGTGTCATTTACTTGGTTTTGAAAATCCTCATGTAGTGCCTGATATAAATTCGTAATTTCATGTCATATAAACGAGACTGTTTTGATACTTGAGACTCACCATCTTGATATTACAGTAACTCAGTCAAGCATGATTGCCATATATAGAGCCATTACACAGCACTTCAATAACAAGTTGATTGACTAGGCGAGACATCAAAGTGAATACGAATTAGTTCTCAATAGACATGTTCAGCGGCACCAGGCTGTAGGAAGAGGGAGGACAGAAAAGTCAGGACTTTGATCCTAAGTGATGCCTACCGACCTTGCCTACTAACCTACCTAGGTACCTGATAAAAAGACTTGGGTAACTTGATACAAGTGTATGATAGGTAAATTTAGGAAGAATACATTTTGCAGAGTTTATTTTAATACCCTATATCAAGGGCTGATGTTTTCTTGCTCTCCACGGATACCTAATGTAGGTACCTACTATAGTTAGGTAGGCAGGCAGCAATCAGGCCCTGGCGATCCAATCATTTATCTACATCTCACAACTCGGGCCAGGCCATATAAAAGGCAACCTCCACATTATAAATATCACCTCGTTCTTCTGAAATCAACACAAATATTCATGTTTGATTCCATCAAGCCAACATGATACACCAGCCTAAACAGAGAACGGTTGCACATCTCAATGGTAAGTCACCCTCTTTGCCAACGCCATGGACGAGACGAGATCCCTGCTTTCCACAGAAACGTGTTGCACGGGATGTAAATACTACGAGGATGTACTAAGAAGGTAGGTCTACATATTATAGACTCATTGGACTTGCCACTAAACCATCTCCCTTTTAGAATTAGCGATACCTGTTGAGATCATGCATCTCATAACATATGAGATCTCGTTACTAAAGGAGCCTTTCAAAGACCTGCTCTACTTGGCACTGGCCTGCAAAAGTCTCAAAGCGGCTGTCCTCCCACGTCTGTACGACAAGGATGTAAAGGACGCGCTCAAACTCGATCACCAACAGCCTCTGGCTCTTCAATGGGCGAGCTGGTTTGGTGTCCTCGATGCAGCAAAAGGCTCACTGGAAGCTCTAGAACGGACCGGTACAAATGTTGGGGACAAGATCAACCAGCCCTTCCGAAATGATCTTCTTTACGCCCTGAGATACAAGACCGTCCAGAGGATGGGTCCTTCAGGCCCAGCCTATGGGCATTTGCATTGGGGAAGCCGGAGTGGCCTCTTGCACCTAGCCTGCCTGCGTGGGAACACGGCAATTGCCACATTACTATTGGACAATGGTTTCAACCCAAATGCCCCAGATGGGAAGAGGCTGCCTCCTCTGGCATACGCACTAAATGAAGATGTGGTAAGTGTTGCAGACGTCTCGGGTTGACAACCTTCAGGGATCCCATCCCTTGGCAAGCTACCTAAACTAACTGACACGTCAGGCCAAACTGCTCATCAGCAGAGGAGCGGACGTCAATGCCACATACGACACGGACGAAACGGCTTTATGCCATCTCGTTTCTTGGGGACCAATGGACGACTGCGACTGGAGTAAAGAAACCAACATGTCCAAGAGTAAGGGTGCTCTGAATGCTCTGGACACTCGTCACAATCACTTCAGCACTATTCGTTATCTTGTCCAACATGCCAACGCAGATATATACGCAAATTCCATAATAAACACCAGTCCCCTACTTTCTGCCATAAACAAGCGATACGTCGAAGCTGTCCAGCTTCTTCTAGAAGCGGGTGCTTCGCCAAATCCGATCAACAGCAAGTCAGGTCAGAAGAGATTATTGCTAGCAGATGCACTCAAGCGGAACCAGAACCACGAAGTTGTCAAGATGTTACTAGAAGCTGGAGCTGAAGCTGATTTCGATACAATGCCACAAGGTGACCTGTCGCAGTCGCAGGGCGAAGCGCTTCCCATCATGAACCTGATAACGTCACTGAACAATCCATTATATGCACAGGCAGAGATTGACATGGCCAGACTTGTCTGTAAGAAGATAAGACACTTTAATAAGGTCATTGCTGGGCATACGCCGTTGTGGTACTACGTTAGAAAGGGAAGAGGGGATATTGGTCAGGTCTTGATAGAGCATGGAGCATGCCCCAAGTTGGCAAATGTGGAAGTCCGCGAAGATACGGTTCCGAGGCTAATCGCACTCGAGTAGTATAGAATTAGTGTAAGGTAACCATCAACGATTCTGCCTTGGTTCCTTCTCTTTCTCCTTTTTCTCATAAATGGCTTGAAGTTTGTGTTACATCATCGCAAATTCGATCGTTCGCAAGGCCGTGTTAGCCCCTGAGTATTTCAGCGAGGGGAACAATTACACGAATAATGCCCATACACTAGTTAGAAATCATACCATAAGTGAAAGCTTGTCTGGCTAGCCCATTGCTGAACAGGCAGTTCTTGTGTGACTTTCATTCTCATTAGATGTATTTCGTGTCACTATCTCTTCATCATGATATATCATAATGCAAGGGTGTCTGTCATTCACTCCAACTATTTTAACTGCTCAACGTCTGTCTCGTCTGCACGGCTCAGGCATGAGGATCGGGCAGCCAGAACAACAGCTCCTGGTCAGCCGTGGCGAAGAAGTTGTACCGAGGGTTGAAGGCTAGGACAGCTGCCTCTCTCTTATCAGGCAGAGTCCAGCTAGGCTCCAGGACTTTGTTATCGTTGGGAGCCGCCATAGTATCCCAGACCAGGACGTCCTTCTTGGAGCCACTCAGAACATAGCGCCCATCGGGAGCGAAACAGCACTCGCCGCTGCTCTCTATGTTTGAAAAATCTGACGATGTGCTAACACCCGATGCTGTTTCTCCCACAGCTAATCGTCGAGTCCCGCCGTTTGGCTTGTGAAGATATGCTTTCAGGGTGCCCTCGAAAGCGTCCAGGAGGAAGTGTCCATTACCACGAGTTCCAACAAGTAACGACTTTCCATCATTTGAGAACTCGAGTTTTGTCCATCCCTTGTTGAGGCATTGCGAATCTACTGTCCTGCACTGTTCAACGACATCAACCGTCGCAAAAGGAGCTTTGTCATAGTTTCGCGCATCGTAGAGTAGTACCGTGCCGCTACTCGTACAGGCGACGGCAAACACAGTTCCAGAGGGGTCGTATGCGGCGAGGTAGGGTGCTCGAAGAAATAGTTGACCTTGGCAGTTTTTTGTTTGAGTGTCCCAGAGGCGCATAGTATTATCGTGTGAGCATGAGATGAAGTTGTCGCTGCCCGGGTGAACAGCCAGTGAAGTTACAGGTCCCTCATGACCTTCAAAGTATCTGATGAATGAATTATCGTGTGTGGCAAGATATCGGATAGCGTCTGGAGACAAAGGTCGATCAGTATTGAATTCATCTTACAACATTCAAAAGTTTTGAATAAGCTACCGTTCTGTTTTGTGCTGGCATAGATTATGCTTGAAGCTGTGTGTGTGAATTTGGCTAGCTTCACTCCGTATTTTTTACTGACTAGGCTCTTGTCGTGTCTGCCCTCTTTGACGTGGTAGATCTGTATCGTCTCGTCGCTGGCCGAGGCCATGACGAGTTGGCCTTCGTCATCGTAGTCGAGGGACAGTACATGAGGCTGTGGACGACTGTCCTTGATATCATCACGTCGGAAGAGCTACATACAGCGTGAAACGTTTAGCCCGCCAATAAAGCGTACGTTAGATTATGTAGGTTTCATACCTTGGTAGGACGAAAGCTGCCTATGACATCGGATAGATTGGACACGGAGGCGGTGGTGCCGATGGTGCGGTGGATGTTGAGCGATGCGCCATTTGGTGTATTAGACCTATCTATGTCCATCGGCGTTGAGGACATTGTGGACAGAGAAGCGAGGAAATAGCTCGAGGAGCAATAGCGAAGTGATAACTGTGGTAGGTGTGGAACAAAGCACACGCGCTCGTGTTGAAAGAGTGTCGATTGTACGAGTCGCAAAGGGTCGCAGGCACTCTAGAGCCAGATCACTCCAGTCGCGATGATGGTAGAATTGAATATTTCTGTAAATAACAAGATTTAAGCAGTTGTGGTGGATGTTTTTGTTGGTGCCGATGTCTTGGTTACTCGACTTCTAGTTATCGTGTTTTGGCGATGGGAAGCTTTTGTCATGGAGCTCCCTGAGCTGGAGGGGTGTAATTTTGCGGGGTACGTCATAAGCCGCGAGGTACGTACCCTGACATGAGGTATTAACGTTGGATACGGGGAAACCGGCCACCCCTAGAAACTAGCCACCTTTAATAAAATACTAAGAATAAGATAGCATTAGGAACTTAATTAATTAACTATTACTATATTTTTCTAATTAATTAAAATTTATATTAGTAAATATTTAAATAAAACTA